TGAAAATGCATGGGATAAAACCGGACTCTCTGATCATGGCGAACAATGAGGGCTGATGAGAAGCCAAGGACAATGGCACTGACTTTTGGTCCTACTGCATGTACTGGCTTTGTGGGAGCCTAGCCTGTTTGTATGCTCCCCTTCCTAGACCTGGATGGAGAGGGGAGGACCTTGGACTTCCCTGACTGCTCTTTGCATTGGAGAGGGAGAGGGAGGGGAGCGGGGCGTGGGGAGTGGGGGGAGGGGGAGAGAAAAGGGAGGCGGGGAGGTGGCAGGAATTTTTAATAAAAAAATTAATAAAAAAAGAAGGAAAATAATAATTTCAGAAGTTATTGTCTTTAAAGAGAAATAAAAGAAAGTCTGCCTTTTGAAACAAAATCCTAACTTCAGAATAATTATTCTTTAATTAATAAAGTCTTTGTGTTCTAAGATAATGAACAGATTTAAACACTATGATTGTGTAAGTTAATTAGTGTTCTAAGATATTCATAATTAAGTTAAGGCACACTCATTGTAACTTTAAATATAGTTTATTTGCTCTTCATCATTACACTGATAATGGAAAGATTCCATGATGGTTAAAGAGCTGTGATGTCATCACCATAAGGATATTTGGTAGCCTGTAAGTCTTTATAATATCCCATAACCAAGAATAACATTCTATTTAAAATTTAATATCAAGATGCTATAAAACAAACTCATAGACTTACATATGTATAGTACACAAAAAAATTAAATCTATAACCCCTCACTAATGACTTCTAAATGTGCTTCTAATTTGAAGAAATATGAGGAGTAACAGAATCAGTGCCCTTCAAACTTGAATTTGCATTATTTTCCATTTTAGCCATTGGTCTTGTTCCATTTTTCATATTTCAAGACTGTTAAATAATCAGTTCATCAAATCCATTGGTGTAAAAGATAATAGATTCCACTAAACACACTTATAGATGAACAGTTACCTTGATTGTCTCTTAGTATAAAACTTGAATTATTTCTGTCTTCCACAGAGTGATTGAAGTAAAAATGGTGATGTTCAATGGATTCATCTCTGTCTATTGCACTTATGGTCTGAATTATCTAGAAAAATTATTAAAAACGTCGATTGTGATTATTGGGAAAAATAAATTGGTCAATGCTGTTATTATATATAATATTTCTTAAAATTACTTTAGCAAAATCTCTATATTTCTTAAATACTTCAATTTTTATTCCTGATCTTCATCTGCTATGCAGTCATTATTATTCGTATATTAAGTCATGATGATGTTGACTTTCCAGTTATACACATATTTAGAGCAATTATCTTTTTTCCTAAAGTAATTAATTTTGTAATTAGTTTTCAGAAATGACACATTTAAAGCTTTCAGACAATGTATGATTGCTTTTGACTCACAAAGATGATAGACAAATCTTTACCATCAAATAAATGACACTTTATCTCAAATCATAAAACTGTAAAGAAATGCAGATGAAATCAAATCAGTTCTCAAATTTTTTATGTCAAGTCATAAGTCTGTTCATTTTAATGAGGGAAAAGATAAACTAGACATTATCACACAGTAAGATAGTGATTAATTCTCAAGATTAAATTAAATTGATTTCAGTAATTAGTATTTTCTATTTTCTAAAATCAAAATGTCTTTACTAGTGTTTCAATTAAATCTTCACTTGACTGTAAGATGAAATATTCAGATTGATAAGTTATACTTCAATGAACAGTTATTTTCCTACATGAATGCAGGACAGACTTATAAAACAGAAGCAATCTGTATATTACATGACCATATTGACTTATGTTTTCACAAAAATATTTGTTTTTGACTAAATCCTAAATTTTAAAAGAAAATACAGAAAGAAAAGTTTTATCCATCTTATGACTTTAGTAATAAGAAAGTATCACATGATTTCAAGACAGTATTTTTATTTTAAAATAGATTATGTTTTTTATCTTGATGAGTGAGGGCAGGATTTTAAGATTATAGTATTCTTGATCCATACTATGCCACATACAAGTTATCTAAACTCAGACACAAGGCTGTGTTTGAACATTAAGATTTTAAGATTCTTTTATAGGTTCACCTGAACATGTTTTTAAACTACAGTTATGCTATGTCCTCACCAAGAAAACTTTTTTCTGGTGAGGTTAGTTGTAGTGGGAGACTGCTTGTTGGTTCCTGGCCACCCAGCTAGTTAGCCCAGAAATAACCATACAGAAACTGTATTCATTAAATCATTGTTTGGCCCATTAGCTCTAGCTTCTTATTGGCTCAATCTTACACATTAATTTAACCCATCTCCATTAATCTGTGCATCATCACAAGGTCATGGCCTACAAGCAAATTTTCAGCATATCTGTCTCCAGTGAAGGCTCCATGACTTCTCTCTGACTTCACCTTCTTTTCTCTCAGCATTCAGCCTAGCATTTCTTGCCTACATACATGATATAGGTCCAAAGCAGTCTCCTTATTCATTAATGGTAATCACAGCACACAGAGTGGATTCCCACATCAGACAGTATAAGGTAATGTTTTAGATTGTTACTGATCACACAGTTTTGGATTTATTTGTCTAACTAAAGCAATATTTGTAATAAGAAATCACAACTGTCAAATTTACCTTGGTGACATGAATATAGTTAATCATTTCATCTGAAGTTGTGTGATAAATGTAAAATTTATTGAAAAAAAATTCCTTTAATAAAGGAAGGCTTCAGAAGATGAAATCCTTTGGTTTTGTTGTGTATTCTTAATTTAAAGTGCTTAATTAAAATTTGCGAAAATACAGTGTTTATATTAGAAACTAATGGAATAGATCAGTTTAAAAAATATAGATGAACTTATATTTGATTCATAGCTGGATTTGAAGTAAAACAAACTAATTCTATTAATTTTAATAAAGAACCCATAGACATAATCAATTCTTAATCTATCAGAGAGGTATTATTAAAATAATGCATTCAACCTTAAGGACATATATATTTCAAGTAAAAACAAATCTTTAAGAAATGGATATTAATATTAATTAACTAATTATTTAATATTAATATTAATTTCCTTAAAATTCAGCAATAGAAATCATGTATTTCATTGTACAAATAAATCTATAACTATGTATACTTAGAGTTGATTACTTATATAAACTATTATATTTCGCTAACTCCGGCCTACTGAGCTCTTTAAAATTAATGATATCATTAATGAATTAAAAGATTTAAAAGTAAGGATAAACTAATAATGAACTTAGGAAAAAGTGATAGGAATTTTCCAAGATTATAGCTAATTTTGATAGCTCTGTTTTTGGTATTTGTTTGCTCTATGTGTATGATTTTGTCTAAGTTCCTTTTACATAGTACATTGGATTTTCTATCTATAATTATCTATGAATTCCAGAATGAAAATACATTCTGTCAACTTACACAATTTGAAAACAAACAACTTTAATACAAACTCACCTATAATTTATTCACTGATATATTATCTTAGCTAATATTCAAAGTAATTTTTGAAATAAATTGTTAGTGAAATAAATTTATAAATACTTATATTCAGTTTCAAGGGAATGTTGTAATCAATCAAAATAAGAATTCACTATACATTGTACTTTGAGTGTCTTTTAGAGCTACTCTGCCTATTATAGAAATGGGTATTCATTATTAATTTTATAATTATTTTATATACTAGTCTATATGTATATATATATATGCTGTACATAAAATGCAATATATATGTTTGAATGACACACTTAGATGCAATTCAAAAAAGGAAATTTAATGTGGCCTAATTTGATAAAAAAATGATTCTATTTTCAATGACTTTGAATCTAAAATATTCAATGAGTGATACCATGTTTATATCCTTCATATAGTCAATATCTTGAAGACAGATGTGATTTCACTACCAAAGTTCTTCCACAATTTCTTATTTTTAATGAGTCTGCAAAACTTTTTTTTTAATTCAAAACCCTCTATGATGAATGCTATAACAAGAAAAAAGTATTTAAAATTTTATTTCAAGCAGTCACTATTCCAATTTTCTAAGACAAAATAAGCTGAGTAGAGTTTATAATTAAAATTTATATGTATTTATTTGTTTTATACTTACAATGCCAGTAAAAAGAAATCTGACCATAAAAATCATTTCACAAAGTTTAGAGCATTCAGATGATCAATATGAAAAGCAGAAGAACATGTGACAGATTCGGGACTCTGGTAATATTTATCATACTAGTAAAGTTTGAGACTGAGCAGATGAAGGAGGTGTTTTAATCACTCTTCTGCTGCTATGAACAAACACCATGATCAAGACAACACTTTAGAGGAAAACGTTTCTGAGGGGCTTGCTTACAAATTCAGAAGTTTAGAACATTCCCAGCATTGCAGGCAGAACGGAAGCAGGTAGGCAAGCATGGTGCTGGAGAAGGAACAGAGAACTATATTCCAATCCACAAGCAGACAGAAAGCAAGACTAAGTTTTACTTGTTCTTACCTCATTACTTCTAGTGACACACATTCTTCAAGAAGGATACATCTACTCAAAGTACACAACACTTCCTAATATTTTGCAACAATTCAGTACATGGGAACAAAGCATTCAAATGATATCATTATTATTCAAACCCCCATCAGTTAAATTTCCTGACATCAAAAATTAATGTTTGAACACTATAATCACACAAATAAGATAAAAATTCTGGTGATCATCCTGCAAATCACTTATTATCAGTGAGCTTTGAAACTAGTTTATTACAAGAAAATGCTAAGTTCCTGTTGTTCAAGAGTTTGTACTTCTTAAATTTGGCCAACACATATGAGTTAATATGCAACTTTAGAAATTTTTAGAAACAATGAAAATAAAAATTAAAAAGGAAAGAAAAGATATGACTCCTTCTGGGAATGGTGGAAGAGACTGTTTATTGTAGATAACAAGAAGAGAATAGCCAGAGGCATGGACACCTGGTAGAACACAGAGGGGACTTGACCAAACTGATCTATGATAGGTGGACAGTGGGAGGAAAGAAAAAACAAGTGAAAACAAGTGAAAGGGCCAAGAAGCCAATGGTACAAAAAAGTTATAATATATACATATTTTTATCATTTGCTCCCTCCAAACTCTTCTATATAACTACAAATTTATGACTTTCAATTTCAATCATTGCTGTTACAGACATATATTTTGATGTGTACTAGTTTGGGAATACTTAAGTACAATGTCTTTTGGTAAAAACTACAGAATCACGTAGTAGAGTGGAATGCTATTCACCGAAGACAACTATTTTCCCACTCCCAGCATTTCTTTATTAACTCTAGTCCTTTCTGCAGGGATAAGTCCTGAGAGACACCCCCCTCTCTGTGTCAGCATGCCTATTGCTATTTTCCTTGTCAGCTCACATTTATGCATTTGAGTTTGTGAGATGTATAGGTGTAAAAGACTTAAGTGCCCCCAACAAGTTGTCTCACCTTCTTAGTTTTCTTTACAATAATTCCTTTATTTGATCAATAATGATGGCTGCTTTTAAGCAAAATAATCTTCACAATATTATTTGTGTGGAGTATGCATGTGTCATGACATACATTTTGAGGTGAATGTGTTTACACATATTTTGTACACACATATGCTCATGTATATTTGTTTTTCTTTGGTATAACTCTATTATACACTCATAAAAAAACTATCTAGCCAGCTCCATATTCTTCATTTCCTTATTAGACAGTATCCACTGTTAATAACATATATACTACAATTTTATAACAATTTTTTATTCAATATAATTTTTAAAATTTGTAAAAGTTGAAATTTCAACTCAAAAGGAACTTTTCTGCTCTTCCCTGATATGGTATGTCCTTGTCTAAATGTGTTGCTTTTATTGCCTGATGATTAAAGCTGTTTTGGTCAATAGCTTAGGTATATTGTAGTTAACTCTTTTGGTTTTTTGTTTGTTTTTTGAGACAGGGTTTCTCTGTAGTTTTGGAGGCTGTCCTGGATCTAGCTCTTGTAGACCAGGCTGGCCTCAAACTTAAAGAGATCTGCCTGCCTCTGCCTCCCAAGTGTTGGATTAAAGGAATGCACCACCACCACCCTGCTCTTAGCTAACTTTTACATCTTAAATTAAACCATTTCTATTAATCTGTGTATCACCATGAGACTATGGCCTTCCTCTAAATTTTGGTATCCTTTTCCTTCAGCAGTCACATGTCATCTCCTTGACTCTGACTAATCAAAGATATATATATATATATCTTTATTAGGATTTCCTGACTGACTTTTTTTCTGCCCTGCTGTAGGTCAATAAAGCTTTATTCATGAACTAATAAAAACAACACATATACAGAAGGACATCCCACATCACTCTCCAATATATGAGCAGGAAATTTAAATTATATTTCCGTTTTAGGTAATAACATTTTCTATTTACCTACGGTTTTCAAATATTTTCTTCTCTGTATCAGTCTCTAGTTGATGTTGCTTATCATAAATCAAAGGTGACTGTTATATTCAAGTGTATATTGTCAATAAGAGGCTTTTCCTTTTAATGCTATATTGATGTCCATGAGTCTACATAACAATTTTAAAGTTTACAGATAAACTGTTAATTTCTTCACTTTTCTTCTCCCAAATATTATTTTAACAAGGCAAAACATCTTTTTATTTTCATAAGTCGTCTTTTCTAGTTTTATCATGATTTCATTCTTTTACAACATCTGTACTCTCATGTTATATGAAAGATACGGTGGCTTCAACCACTACCTTCAGTTCTTTCACATTGTGAGAACTCATTGTTCCTTGCTTTGTACTATGATAACTGGAGGGTGTGTCTTCCTATAGAAGAGCTCCACTGTATGTCAATAGGTAAGTATGTGTCCAGAAAGCCATATAAAATCTTTCCATTTATTCTTGTTTAAACTCTCCACTAAATTAAGAATTTATTCTGAGAGAGAAAATGTAAATCCTAGTCTTTAGCTCATAAACTACCATGACTTGGACTGTACTATTTCCCTGAAATCCATGAACCATCCTATTTAGTATTGGTCCTTCTCTACACATATGGGGCAGTCCCCTGCTCTAACAGTTTATTTGCTCTAGCCACTACCAGTGTCAAATGAAGGGCACATACCCTACCAGTCCCCTGGATAATGTAGAGTTTGATACATTCACTGTTTTCTCTTTCCACTTCAGGAGTTCATTAAAACTGTCACATTCTAATGGGATTTCCCCTAAATATTCTATTCACAACCTCCCTAATGTCACTGTCCACATTTCATTGGTCTCCTTGTTTCTTCTTTCCACCACAAAAACGTAATACTTTTGAAAATAATGTATGAATTACTTAACAACTGTTTTTATCTTATTGCACTGCTAGTTTTATATCAGAAAGGGTTCTTAATTCAATATTCATAAAATATAAATTGAAAAAAGTATGATTTAAAATTAAATGACATAATCATAGAATTTAATGATTCTGTATTAAACTTTAAACACAAAATCATAAATCAAATTTCTGTGTATCTATTCTTTGCTTTCTTCTTTCATGTAAAGCATAGTAAGTCATTTTCTTGGTTACAGTTATTTCTCCATGATTCTTATTCTCTGTCTCTACTGGTCTCTATCATTCTATGATAACTTATAGGCCAAAATTTCTAACAAACTCATTGTCTTTTAATACTTGTTGATGTTGATGTTCATGCATCATGTGTGTTCAGGGTATATAAATCCATTTTCTTTTCTCCAGTTCAAGTCATGTATCACATTCTACAAAAATCATACTTTTATTCTGGCCATCACCATACCTTTTTGTACACATTATTTTCCTGACTTTTGATCACTAGAATTTAATTAAAACATTTAAATATTAAAAATTTGCCATGCCAATGCATCCCTCCTTTCTTCTTTATATTCATCACACATTTTCTAGTATGGTATCCTGAGAAATAGAACTCTAGAAAGAAAAAAAAGTAATATTTTTGCCCCTTAGTTATCTCACTAGTAAGTTTGGGTGAAAACATTCTTGTTGGATTCAACTATCCTATGTTGATGTGTGTATTAAGATATATCGGGAGGAAGAGGCAGGCGGATCTCTGGGAGTTCGAGTCCAGCCTGGTCTACAAGAGCTAGTTCCTGCACAGGCACCAAAGCTACAGAGAAACCCTGTCTCAAAAAAGCAAAAAAAAAAAAAAAGATGTGTATACTTACTAAGGCCATCTTTATAAACCAGTTTTTCTGTAACAATTATATGTGGCATATTTCACTTTATTTAAAATACTGTTAGTTTCTTTAAATAAAATAGTTTAAGATAATAGAATGAAACTTTTTTAACTTGAGAATAAAAGGATGACTAAAGAAACTGATCAAACAGTTATATCTGCCTGTCTTAAAATAAATTGTTTGGTTCATGATAATAATCTAAGGTTTTATGAAGTAAACTATCATAGGAGAGGCATAAAATATTGTGTTATATTCTATAGTATTTCCAAAAAGGAAAATAAAATTGCATAGAATATATGTACATATGTAATAAAATGAATATAACTCAAATTATTTACTTTATGTAATATAGAGTATGGTGCCTTATACTACCAATTAATATATATTTAGAAAATATAAAATAAGCTCAGTTGCTCATTATTTGGTGATTTATTGTGATTTCTTATCTTACCTCACCAAATTCAGCATTTTCACAAACATAAGTCTCATAGTATTGATAGAACTCAGGAGCATGATCATTAATATTAAAAACTTGTACATACACAGGAATTGAAGAAATCTGTTGGACATTGTCTGCAAATTAAACATAGAGAATGGAATTAATTACATCTCTATTAAAAGTCATGCAATAAATTGGATTAGAGGCTTTCTGTATATTGATATATTTACTTAAGGAAACCTAATTTTGGGAACTATACATTTAATACATTTATCAGAAATCAATGCTCAGTTCTAGCACCACTTATTGTTTTCTTCTACAGGTTCTGGTTTTTGTTCTTGATAAGTGAAAGTAGATAAAAAAAAATGTTCTATGATCACTGTGCTTCCACTCAGGAGCTAGAAGATTTCTTTTGTATCAGTCCAGTGAATTTTACTAAGAATAGAAATTTCTACTTTTGCAAATTTCTCTAATAGTCATACTGGCACTAGGAACCCACTCAGAATTAAGTTATTTCCTGAGGTCCTTAAGTAACTGAAAATGCTTTTTATGATCATAGTGAAACAACTCTCTGAAACACTAAAATTAAGCCATAACTGATAAAATGTACATTATAAAGAATGCTTCAAGCCATGTCCTTCTTAAATACCCAAAATTTGTTGTTCAGATGTAAAGTGAAAGTAAAGATTACAAACTGGAGGCTTGTCTTGCTGTTCAAGTTATGTTATTAAATAAATATTAGATAAGTCCCAGGATCAGAATAAATATAATAATATCATTATTATATGGCAAGATATACAATTATTATTTATAACAACACTTAATAAGTATTTGTTTTGGAGTATTTTAATTGCATTCTGATATGGCTGAGACTAAAAATAAAGATTACTTTGAATCAGAGGGAAGAGCTAACTACTAGATGAACAAAATTAGCCAGAGAAATTTTGGTGGACTGGGGATATACAGAGAGACTCTGAAAAGGGATTATAGGCAAGGGGTTCCTGGAAACAATATTTATTCTAGAGATAATCTACAGCCTTCTGGAATAAGCAGAAGGTCTGACAAAGAGTGTCATTGAACTAATTAATGAAGATAAAAAAGGGGCAGGACAAGGTAATAGTTTGACATAGGGAAATGTTTTAGTTAGCCTTTTGCATGCTATAATTTCAAATTTGGTTAATAAGGGAGTCCCCCCTCAGAATAATTAAAAAAAATAACTTAATGCCTCTTGTTAAAAGCCATACTGGTCTAGATAATATAACAGTTTTATTAGATAAAACAAATTATTAAGGAAAGAATGGAAATAAAATATTTGAGCAAAGTGTTATAAATAATCAAAGATCAAAGCTAATAATACAAATAAATTGAATTGAAATTGATAGTTTAGTAGAAATAGTTTCAATTGTAAAAACAATATCATCAGTACCTTAGCAAAAATTTGGTCTCTTAAGGAGATAAATATTCTGTTTCTGGGGAGAGAAACTTTGTCTCAGGTAAAATAACATGCAAAAAGAATTGACTTTATAAGACTAGAAGAATAGGTAGGGAAATTAAGGACATAGGTTGCTTAAATAGCAATAAATTTATGAAGACATGATTTGTTACATAAATGAAAAGCCCAAATTAACATTCCTTCAATCTCAGAAACAAACCATAAACTAATATGTACTTCTGAGAAAAATATTAAAAGGTATTATCAAAAAAAAAAAAAAATGACCGGGCTGGAGAGATGGCTCAGAGGTTAAGAGCACTGTCTGCTCTTCCAGAGGTCCTGAGTTCAATTCCCAGCAACCACATGGTGGCTCACAACCAGCTATGATAAAATATGGTGCCCTCTTCTGGTGTGCAGGCATACATGCAGGCAAAATGCTGTATACATAATAAATAAATCTTAAAAAAAAAAGAAAGAAAAATGACCAACATTTCAGGTTGTATATAAGCAGGGCAAAGCAGCTGCTGATTTTTCAAAGGTATCATTACCTTTAAAATGGCTGAGAAGCCTGTCTGGTTGAGAAACAGCCTTTGACCACAGAAAAATTATAGGAATCATAACAGTTGAAACAGGAGCAGATAAATATTCAATATATTGAGGAATAGACTAGTTCCTTGACTAGTCTATTTGTCATTTCAAAAAATCTGGAAAATTGATAATGTTAACAGAACTAAGAACCACATAAATGAGATTTAGAAAATAGTCTCATTACATGTTGGAATTCCCTTGCTATCTTTATTACTTAAAGTATAATCTATTGTGTTGATATACTTAAAACAATGTTTTTTTTTTTAACTTTACATGAACAGGTTAGAGAAAAAATTGACCTCAGAGTGCCTACTTACAGTAATGCCTAGCTTATTAAGAGGTATCATTGGAAAATTCTTCTTAAAGAGATGTTAAGCAGGCCTAGGTTTTGTCATTATTTTGGACTATCATTGAAAATAATTTGCAAACAGTCTCTTCAATATGTAACTATATGGATGATTTCTTTCTAGAGATCAAACTCATATACCTCATATACATGATAGAAGAGTCAAAGAACTTTTAATTTTTGGGGGATTACAAATTGCTTCTAGAAATAGAATTAAGAATTAATTATATGAACTACCTAGGAAATAAGATAGTATTAAAAGGATTCAACCACAGAGAGTGCAAAGCTTGAGAGATCTATTTTGAAGTATTAATGACTTTAAGATTTTCTGAGAAATATTAACTGGCTATTACCTGTAATTGTGTTAACTACTCAAGAATTAAGTAATTTATTTCAAACATTAAAAGGAGAGAAGGGTATAAATAGTCCAATAGAATCTCAGAAATGATTGACTTTGGTAGAAAATAAGTTACAGAATACACATCTGGATCCTTTGGATCTAGAGTTTGTTTGTATTCTGCTTATTTTTCCTTCTATACATTCCCCACAGAAATTCTTATGCAGAGAGATGATAATATCTTTGAACAGTTATTTTTGTCATAAAAAACATAGTAAGAATATGAAAAAGCTCTAAATAAATGCTTCCAAATTGATTCTGAAAATAAAATAAAGACATCATCAGTTGGCAGAAAGACTCAGCAGAAATTGTAGTGCCACTTACAAATGTTGAAATTGCCTTCAAGACAGAAAATAAATATTGTCACACAGCTTGCAGTAACTTCTTGTTAAATATTAGCAACAAGTATTGCAGAATTAAAAGACTTATATTTATATAAAAATGATTAGATTCTTCTTCACATACCATGAGGAACAATAATTGCTGGAACCCCCACATTTCATATTGATGCAAAGAGTTCAGGAAAGATAGGTCATAAGTCAGGAAATTTAGGAAAAAGTGGCTCACAACTCTGATAATTCTTTTCAAAAGAATTATATTTTATTCTCATGGTATTACTAGATTTTTACCCAACCTCTTAATATAGCATTTATATATATAATTTTAAAATTATATAGAAAATATTTTTTAATCACTTAATAATAAGCCAAGGAAATGTGCTAATTGCAGTTTGTATTAACAAACCTGCAGGGAGTTACTTAAATTGTTCTAATAGAAATGACATTTGGTAAATAGATGTGTTTCATTTTACAGAGTTTGGAAAATTAAAATATATGCATCTTACTGATGATTATCTTGAATATTACCATAGAATCTTTGCCTTGCGACAGATGGAGATAGAAACAGAGACCCAATTTGGAGCATTGGACTGAGTTTCCCAGGTCCAGTTTAAGAGCAGAATGAGGGAGAATATGAGCAAGGAAGTCAGGACCACAAAAGGTTGGTCAACCCACTGAGACAATGTGCCTGATCTAATGGGAGTCCACCAAATCCAGCTGTACTGGGAATGAATGAGCATGGCATCATACTGGACCCTCTGAATGTGGCTGACAATTGGGGCAGACTGAGAAGCCAATGATAATGACACTGGGATTTGTCTCTACTTCATGTACTGGCTTCTTGGGATTCTAGTCTATTTGGTTGCATGTCTTCCTAAGCCTGGATGGAGGGGAGAGGACCTTGGCCTTCCCAGAGTGCAGGGTACTCTGCCCTCTCTAAGGACTGGAGAAGGAGGAGGGAAGGGTAAGTGGGAGAGTTGGAGGGAAATTTGAGGAGGGGAGGAAGTGGAAATTTTGAATGGTATTATTAATAAAGTAATAAAAATCTAATTCTGTTATTATAGAATTATGAGTAGTTATGGCCAACATGGGGATACTTGTACAAACTAAAACTGACAATGTTCCAGCATATGAATCTAGTAAAATGAAACAGTCTTTTTACATATTTCACTATAAAATATGTTTCAGGTATACTATACAATTCTACTTGATAAGAATTTATATAAAGATCTAATCATAATTTGAAATATGATTAATAAACAGAAAATTATAATAATTTTCTCAATAGATAGAATGCACAATGTTTTACTAACTTTAATTATTATAATGATAATGAAAAAGGAATGACAACTGAGGAGAGACATTGGATAGTAGGGAAAAATTGCCAAATTAAATCACCATGTATACTTTAAACTTGTATTGATTTCACAATGAAGAGCTTGATATGTGTTACATTGAGAAAGAGGGATTGATTTGTTTCTATGGGAAAAGAAAAGCTATGAATACCAGCAGAACTGATAAAGATTAGAGTAAAATAGGAGAGGTGATAGTTCATCAAACCATTTACTCTAAATGTATAAAACTAACAAACACCTTTCATTTAATCAGATATAACCTGCCAAAGTCCCCATAATTAGGATTGGGGTGTGGTTTGTTTCTGTCTTGCTAAGAGAATAAAAGAATCCAAATAAGTAATCTTAGAATGACTGGACAGATGAGACATCTGAAGACAAAGGATGAATCATCCAGAGAAAATGTTCCAAGAAAAAGGAGTTGGCCTAATGATATATCACATTTCTAAAAGGATAAAATTTTATACATCTTCCCAAATATTTCTGTTGTTCTATAAATATAAAATAAATTATCTTTCTGTAATTTCAATCTAACTAAGAATTAAAGCTTGATTTGAAGTTCAGTTGTGTCTCTCTCCTTCAATAAATGGAAACATGATTATTAATGGAAAGTTCAAAATCCCTATCTCATGTAAGAAGAGTCAACTGGAATTGGACAAGATCAAAAGCAAAACAAAGATT